CTACCTTTGACTGAAGCCTGTTGGTTCTAAGTAACAAGGTGCGGGAGAACAAATCCAAGTCTTTGAGAGAGAACCTTGCTAACAAGCTTATTAAAGTTGCCCATTAAACTGATAGGACGAAGGTCCTTGATATCTTCCACAATATCTTTCTTGGGAACTAAACATATGAAAGAGTGAGAAGTGCAATTAGGTAAATAGCCCGAATTAAAGAAGTCTCTAAAAGCAAGAATGATTTCCGGCTTAATCCAGTTCCAACCCTTTTTATAGAATTCCCAAGTGAAGTCGTCCGGACCTAGGGCTTTCCCACCATTGCAATCAGTAATACTTTCCCAGATCTCCAACTCCGAAAAAGGTCTGTTGAGAAACCGAAGATCCTCCTCCCTGATTTTATTACAATCATACTATCTAGGGAAAGGGCACTGCTGAATTTCCTCACAAAACAAGCCTTTATAGAGTAATTCTCCATTAAACGAAGCCCAATGGAGGGGGACCGAACATGAAGTCTTTATATGAGCACAAGAGGAGTACACTGGAGAAGTTTTAGCCCAAAAAGAGGAAGGAATCCACAACGAGTCCAACCACCATTGGGCCGCCGCAACCCTAAACACATCAAGTCATGATAAAAATCCATGTAGAGGTTAATTGTGGGATAAAAAAACCCATTGGAGGAAGAAAAAGGACATCGCTACTAACCGTCGGGGTCGTCGCTAGCCTAATCCCAAAGTAAGCTTCTGGAAACTTCTTTGTTCGTCCCCAAGTAACAACACTAGTGTCCAACCAATAAGAAGTTATGTTTGTGATTACTTTTTATTAGTTAGGTTCAATGTAGTCAAAAGCGTGTTTCTATGTAAAAGTGTGTTAAACCCAGTTTTTTAATAGTATTGAGTCAGAAGCGAGTTTTACCCACTTTTGTAATTGATGGGTTGGGTCGGGTGTGGATTTTTTAAAATTTGGCCCGCTTTCCATTCGTCCCGCACCTTTAAACATACATTCAACACTGTCCAAGTAGGTTGAATCCGATGTTGACGAATTTTGGTTCGGGAGCGTGTTTCACTCTGTTTTGTAATGAACTAGTTATGTCATGTGTGGATTTTGTTAAGAACTTGGCCCGCTTTCCATCTGACCCACACCTAAAAAAACATAACACTGGTTTGAACCTTGTGTTGACAAGTTTTGGGTCGGGAACGAGTTTTACCCATTTTTGTAATTAACGAGTTGGGTCGGGTGTGAATTTGTTAGCACTCGGTCCGCTTTCCACTTGACACTGCTCTTAACCTTAACTATCAATATATGATATCAAGTTACTAAATCCACATCTCACTGCTTAGCTCGGTTTTGGTGCTAGTATTTTAACATTATGGGCCTGTTTACTTTCAATTCTGTTACCTGTTTTTGAGAAAACATATGTTGAAAACAGGTGAAAACAACATTTTGTCGTTTCCGAAAACAGCAGGAAGTTGCCACTTTCTGTTTTCATAGTTGGAAACGAATAGAAAACAGAATGAAAAGTAAACAAGTTTTCTCATTTCGGTTGCCAAATTTATCACATGAAAACAGAAAACAGGAAACGAAAATGGAAGTGAACAGGGTATATAAACTAGTTTTTTGGCCCGCGCTCCGTCGCGGTAAGAAACTAATGATTTAGTAGATGTAAAATAATTCACAAAATTATTTAGATGAGATACATTGATATATACATAAGTTTCACATAGTGTCTTAATCATGATGAATAACATACGTAATTCGTTATGAAAAACTTAGATATTATTTTTGTTTAATTGATACACATAGAAAATGATTATTTGTTTGTAAGCTTTACGTAGTGTCTTAATCATTAAGAAAGACTTATATAATTTTTAGACTCATGTAACCGTTATAGAACGTTGTTACATAAACTTTTACAATGTGTGGTCTAATAATAAAATCAAGTTATAGTAAGTAAAATTTATGAATTTGTAATCTATGTAACTGTTATGAAAAACGTTCTTACATAAATCTTTCATAATGTATGGTCTAATAATAAAATAAATTTTAGAAAGTAACATATGATTAAATTGTTATGGAATTGTTATGACAAAGTTAACTAATCATGAGCTTATGATAAAATTGGATGTAGGAGATAAAAAAAACTATCATAGAACATTGGTACATAAATATTTTATTGTGTGTAGTCTATGGTCTAATAACAAAATTGTATTTTAGAAAGTAGCGTATGATTAAATTGTTATGTCAAAGTTAACTAATCATGAGCTTATAGTAAAATTGGATGTAGGAGATATTTTATAGTGTGGTCTAATAATAAAATCAAATTTTTGAAAAAACTTATGATTAAACTGTTATATCAAATTTTTTACATAAATATTTTATAGTTTGTGGTATGTGGTATGTGGTCTAACTAAAAATCAAATTTTAGAAAGTAACTTATGATTAAACTGTTATGTGAAAGTTAGCTAATCATGAGCTTATGGTAAAATTAGACGTAAGAGATATCTTACAGTGTGTTGTCTAATAGTAAAATAAAATTTTAGAATGCAACGTATGATTAAACTGTTATGTCAAAGTTGTTACATAAATATTTTATAGTTTCTGGTATAATAACAAAATCAAATTTTAGAAAGTAACTTATGATTAAACTATTATGTCAAAGTGAACTAATCATGTATTTATGATAAAATTGGATGTAAGAGATAAAAAAACTGTTATAGAACATGGTTACATAAATATTTTATAGTGTGTGGTTTATGGTCTAATAATAAACATTTTAAAGTTGATTAATCCACTTTTTGAGTTGTTCTACCTGCCTAGATTTGTGACCCCTCGAATATCAAAAGAGATCGTTTCGGGAAAAGGGTTATGAAGTAGGTTGACATTAAATGGCTTAGCCCAAGGCAAAAACTTAGGGGGTACGTGAATAAGGGGAACATCATGCCTTAGCGCATAGGTGATAAGTTCCTAAGTGAACAGTAATCCGGGTCAATTAAAAAGTGGATTGTGCTATTTTATCGTGATGAACAGTGAAAAACGTGAAAGTAAACTTGTTCTATTAATTATATATATAGTTTTTTGGTCCACCCTTCGCAACGGTAAGAAACTAATTATGATTATCTGATGATTTAATTGAACTATAAAAAAATTCACACAATAACTCACTATGTTTTGGGTAAAATATGTTCAATTACATAGTGTCTTTGTCATTAAGAAAGAATTACGTCGTCATTTGCTTAATTGATATGTAAGCAATAACTTTCGCTATATAAACTTCAGGAAATGTTATAATCATTACCTAAGACTTATGCAATAAATTTGTTAATGGACATATAAGCAATCATTACCCTAGACTTATGTAATGTATTTATGAAAATCTTCTATAGTATGTGGTATATAATACAATCGAGTAACAAAAAAGTATCACATTTAATGAAATTTTTACGTAAAAGTTAATTGAACTTACAGAACCTTTAAATGCAGATGGATTACATGGTGAATTGTTGGTTTATAATGAAGGAATTTTTTTCACGGAAAGTATCATATTTTATCAATATGTGGTCTGATAATAATCAAGTTAAAAAAAATATCACACTTTATTTAAATTTGATGTGAAAGACCGAACTTACAAAACTTTTATGTGATGCAAATAGCAAAGGGTTGATGGATAAATTGGAATTTTTTTTATATTTTTTCGTATCACTCGTTATAACCTTCGTTTTTAACTTAAATTTTGAAAATTTTGCTTTAACGGAACTGATTCATTGTGAACTATTAATTTTAGGTGAAATAATTTATGACCAAATATACCACCTTTGTATATGGTGGTAACTTGTGGTAGTCAATTTTGAACATTGGTAAATAGTGGTTAGTATATTCATACTATCATGCATACACCATTCTACATTATGGTATAAGCTTATATATACTACCAAAAATTACCACCAAGATATGGATTCTTAAAATATCCCTCAATTTGTTTTGTTCCAAAATATATCAAATTGTATATGATTTTAAAAATCATGATTGAGCTAATATTTATGTGCAGAAAACTTTAAATTCAGACTTAAAATAAAAAAGGATATATCCTCGTGAGTAATTAATCTTGTTACTGACATGATCCTAAAAGCCTTGATAACATTCACACTTCCGAAATTCTTAGATTATCCAAAAAGCTTCCTAAATTCTTTATTGGGTAGTGGAAAGCGGAATTATATGGGAGTCCCAGCGTACATCAATGCACCCAGGCACAGAAGAGTAAAGCCCTCAATGAACAGAAAGTAAAGGGTTAAGGGGTTGAAGTTTTCGTAAGGAACAGTGGGGTAAAGTAAAGTATACTTGTGCTATTAATTATTTATTATTTATAATTTAATAATTAATAATTCTTATAATTGGAGGTATGAATTGTGAAATACATTATATATTTATATCTTGCAAGTTGTAAACTCATATATATATATATATATATATATATATATATATATATATGGTGGCTACTTCGGTGAATTCACTTTTTTGAGTGCACTCAGTGCACCCAACTCTAAAAGTGTCCATAATACATCAAATTTTGAACTTTAATTAGTACTCTCAATATAATATGATGAGATGACATAGAATCATAACAAATCAATCCATTACCCTAACCCCTTAACCTTCAATTTTGAATCTCAACTCAAAATCCCAAATTGTAAACCTAAACCCTTACCCTAAATCCCTAAATACTAAATCCTTCGAATTAAAGTAAATTTTGAATGATTTTTTTTCAAATTCACGTGTTTCTTGTTCATAATATCATAAGCAACAATTGATACCGTTTTGACATGAATGGTATGGTCAGAATGACAATTATGAGGCGAGTGCACTAAGTGCACTCGAAAAAGTGGGTGCACCGAATACGACACCATATATATATTTCTCCACATATATTCTTGCTGCATGGTGCCTAAAACAAACCAATCGCAATTTCTTTTTGTTGTGGGACAAGCTATATAAAGTAAATCGCAAAAGAAAGTCCTAAAACTCTGGAAGACGGAGAAAGCTGAAAAGACACTTCCAGATTAAACAGGACCCAAAATTAAGAAAGAAACAGAAACTAATCAACCATCATTCGCCAAAAAAAGGAAAAGGCTCCATCCACTCCATGCATGCACGTTCGTCGTAGGTAGCTAGGTAGGAATACCCATTTCATTTTCATTATACACCATTTTCTTGGCCTTCCTCTGCCTCTTAATTCTCCTCCTTCACACACAGCCATGGATCCCAAATCACCAATCTTCCTACTCGTCTCCATCACCCTCCTCTCTTCCCTTCTTCACCACACCAAATCCACCGCGGCTGCCCGAAACGACGCCGCACCACCCACCACCGTAGCTTCAACATCATCGTCACAACATAAACAAGAAGAAGCCAGCCAGGTGGTGATCGATCCAGCCCTCCGCGGCGTGTGCTCCGTGACCGACAACCCGTCCAAATGCGTGGAGCTCATCGCCCCCTACGTGATCGGCGCCACGGACCCGGTCTCCATCCTCAACATGGAGATCGCGGCCCTGTACAAGATGGTCGAGGACTCCAAATCCACCGCCACCCGGGTCGCCAGGAGCCCCTCCACGCCGCCGTCCGTCGTCAAGGTGCTGGACGAGTGCATGGCGTACTACGACTCGGCCACCGATGACCTGGCCAAGGCGTTGTTCGCGTGCTCCGTCAAGGACACCCAGACGGTGAACCGGAGGATGGCTTCCGCGGTGACTAGCTTCCAAAAATGCGACGCTGCGTTTGAGGGGAAGCAAGGGGCTGCCGCCAATAAGCTGGAGGGGGAGGCGGCCACGATGCATGAGATGGACGAGGTCATGGTTCAGATGGTTGGCTTCGCCATGCAGATTTCGCAGAAGCTGGTTTCTAAAGCTACTGCCGCTGATAACACCAAGATAGTTAATTAATTAATACGAATTAGGGATGTACGTACCTAGTCTAATAATTTTACATATAAATTTTATCGTCTGTTTTTTTTTTTTCTTGCTTCGTCGCTGAATTAATTGAATACATTCCACAAGAGATTTTTATTACGATCGATTTTCCCCAATATGCAGGATTTGAACAATTTTTGTAACAAGTTGACACTCGTGATGAATACGTTACACCAGCAAGTTATAACTGATTTCTACTCACTGTTGGAACTTGGAAGCTTATTATCCCAACAGAATAAACCAATCAATTAGATAAATTAATTAGGTGGAACGGAGGAGCGAAAATTGGATTAGGGATGGGTTCAGGCGCCGGCCGACCTTAGATTTGGTGGTGGTGAATGAGAATGAGGAAAAATATATGAGTTCGGGAATTTGGATCTCGTGGAGAGCAAACCTAGTCCTTCTTCTCTTCTTGAAGACTAGAGAGAGGATGGGATCATCGCACCCCGCCCCGACTAGTAGAGCCTACTTTTGATGCTATGGTAGTGGTTGTTGTGAGTTGTGACCTTATGGTAGTGGTGCTATATATGTACGTAATTACTCGCACACGATGGGATGTTATGTCCCACAATCAACTTGATATGACCATCTTACAAGAGTTCATAAAAAATTAAGTCAATGTTTGAAACATCAAATGAGTACTTTTGTGGCACGATAGGGGTGCAGTTGTGCCTATCCTTGGGGTTGATTTTCAATCTTAGCCGAAGAAACGCTTCATTTGGCTTTCCTTTAGTTACCTCAACCATGTCTACTTCCACCACATTGGCCAACATGGTTGACAAGTTAGTTGCTTGTAGGAATGCATTGCCCTTAATTTGTTCCATTCCTCATTCTCCTATTTTTGGAAAAGAGACTCATACCTCATTGCACATTATATGAGTTAGAACAAGAAGTACTCAGCCAATTCCTCCAGTTAGCGCATACGTGCCAAGTGACTCTAACAACACATCCCAATAGACGACAATCATAACTGACGATCGGGTGTGGTATAAGGTAAGCAAGCAATAAAAATATTGAACCATGGGTCTCCTTGTGTACCTTACTTCGGCTTAAGGTTTCGTTATCTAGCCAACGTAGAATAGCGATTAAGAAACTATCTACACTAAACTAACCACTATCCTAGCTAATTACAAGTGGCAGAGCTCCCTTAGCTCGAATCCCCTTAGTTCTATGATTTGGATCGATTTTGAGTACTATCCTAGCTCGATCGACTCGCTACCCTACCGTTAGGAGATAGACTCACTCGAGATTGACCCGAAATGGCGAATCAACTCACTCGGGGATTACCTACCCAACATACGATAGGAGTTACCCGAAAATGCCAATAATGGGCTCTAAGGGGATTATCTTCCTCCTAGGTATAAATTTCAATTGACATGAAGTGGAATCCAAAATCATGTAATCCATGACAACATCCATCAAATAGATAAATTCATTAATCAAAAATAGAATATGTAACATACATCAACAACAAACCAAAACCTAGACCTAGAGTTCATCAACCTAAAAGAAAGAGGTCTTGTTCATAGAGAGAGAAGAGAGATTACAAAATAGCTCAAGATATTCATCTTCTAGGCTTGGTTCATTGATTCCAAGATCAACCCAAGACTCCAATTAATCTCCAACATCACTCAATATCTCTCTCTCTCTCTCTCTCTCTAAAGCTACTCTTTGGTGTTTTGGGTTGAAATCCTAGAGAGAGAACCAAGTTCTCCTCCCAAAAACCAGCTCTCTTTTCTCTCCCAAGTGCCGACTTCACATTCATTGTTCACGGGGGGGGGGGGGGGGGGGGGGGGGGGGGGGTGATAATAGCAAGCAGACTGTGATCTCAGCCAAAAATGCACCATTTTGGGCTATTTTCATGGCCACGAGGTGATTTTCAAGGTATGGTGACCGTGACATTTGAATGGCCCGCGAGATGCGCAAAGGCTACTAGAAATTGCATACTTTCACCGTCTGGGGGTGATTTTCACCCCCTCAAGCGTGACAATTTCCTCCTGCCCGTGAATTCTTGCACTTCAATCCCTGGGAGAGACTTTCACTCCCTCGGGGTGCGACGACATTTGCCTCCCTGCCTGTGAACATTGCACAACCTCCACTTTTTGGTTTATTTTAACCTCCGAATGACCTGAAACTCGTACCCGACCTTCCCACACGTACTAATATCTGAAATGTGACAAAAGAAGCACACGTAAAATAGGACGAGGAACGATGATAATCAAGTAAAAAAATCAATATATGAGGGGGTAAAACATGTGGAATGATGCCCAAATTAAAATCCCCCACACTTGAACGTAAGCTTGTCCCCAAGCAAACTAAGTGAAAAACAAGGTAAGCTTACAACCTCTTTCTTGAAAACTTTGGGGAATTTCATAGGGCGCAAAATAAATGGATCTCAATGGCGATTAGACATCGACATATATAAGGACAACAATAACTAGAATCTTGACAACTACCACAAACGACATTCGAATGCAATAGAACCGTGTAATGGAATAGTCCTCACGTTGTTCACAAACTAATACATAACTTGTAATGATGACTCGCCAATCATAGTCATTCATGCATCGAGATCAGGTCATCAGAACAAATGAATGAGCAAATTAGGTCCTCACTGCGATACATGATAGGAACAAAGCATGAGGAATGCTAGAGTTCACAAGGATGGGCGTCATCACTAGCTTGTCCGGAGGTCTTAGATAAGGGTTCGAATGACTGGCTAGGGTCTAGGACATGGGGGAAAGGCTTTTATGGGTTGTGGCAAACATAGCATGAGGTTCCACATCTTCAACTTAAAACCAACACAAGGTTCTATGGTTTCTACTAGAACCTTCACTACAAGAAAAATTGGTTCCAGCAACCATTTTCTTAGCGACCATAAGAAAATGGTTGCTGATAACTTGGTGTTTGGCTACCATTCACAAAATGGTTGGTGATGCCCAACTTTTGAGCAACCATCATAAAATGGTTGCAATAAGATAGAACTTCTGCGACCATTTGTGAAATGGTTGCTAATACTTAACTCTTCAACAACCATTTGGTAAATAGTTGTCAAAAAATCAATACTTTACCAACCATTATCAAAATGGTTGATGATACTTGATGTTTGAGCTACCATTATTTAAATGGTTGTCGATTGAACAAAGTTTGAGCAACGACTTGTAAAATGGTTGTCGAAAAGTCACTACTTGAGCAAACCATTATCTAAATAGTTGCCGGTACCTGTTGTTTGAGGAACACCTTGTAAAATGGTTGTCGAAAAATCACTACTTGAGCAACCATTATCTAAATAGTTGTCAGTACCTGTGTTTGAGCAACTATTACTTAAATGGTTGCCGATTGAGCAAAGTTTGATCAACTATTTAAAGGATGGTTGGTGAAATAACAATGCTTCAGCAACCATTATCAAAATAGTTGCTAGTATTTGATGTTTGAGCAACTATTACTGAAATGGTTGCCGATTGTGCAAAGTTTGAGCAACGATTTGAAAGATGGTTGCCGAAAAGTAAATACTTCATCAACCATTGTCAAAATAGTTGGTTATACTTAATGATACTATATCAAGAATATTTTTTTCATTGTGATAAAGCATTATGTATTCATTGTAAATTACTTTGTGAATGAAATAATCACACTTTTGGTAACCTACTTAAGGATCCGCCAAATGAATTAAAAAATATTTTTAGGAAAAAATTACTAAGAAGCAGGTAAGGCTGAGGTGTGGAGGACTGGAGGGTTAAATTTTAAATGTTTTTATTAAGATTTAAGATAAGGAAAATACCAAACGGAGAGCCCTTCCAACCCTAACCCATAAAGACTTTATCAAAGCCCTTCATCTAAATGAATCTCCACCGTTTATTCAAACAAACACATAAAACCTTATCTTCTTTGCTTTCTCTGTATGCCGAACCCCATTCCCTCATCCAACGCCTCCACTGCTCCTCTCTTCTTCTCGTTGTTCTCTAACATCGCCGATGAGTCTCCACCCCACCTTCTTCTTCTTCTTATGCCTTTTGCCGCCGCTGCTCCTCCTCCCTCCTCGATTCTCTCTGGTACCCACCACCAATGGGCTAGGGCAGAAGGTTTCTTGTCAAACCCATTCCCAAATCTAAACAAACAAAAACCCCAAATCCCCATCCCAAACAGGCGTCCTGGCCTTCCCTTGTCGTCGCCTGACTTTCCTTTGTTGGAGATAGATAGGTGCGGGAGGGCAGGGAGACGGAGAGATCGCGAGGGCACAACGGCACGGTGAAGAGTAGTTTCTTTCCGACCTCGAGCAAATTCCTCAACGCTCCCATATTCCTCGGCGAGACCCGACTGCGATGGTGGAGACCGCATCCAGCCCTTGGTTTTCGAGCTACTGACCGCCTCCAACAGGGGAGTCACTCGACACTGCCGACTTAAACAGAGGAAAGAACTCATTGGGACTGCCTTATGCTTTTTGCATGCAGCAGCGAAGACCTGGGTGGCGAGATCTGGGCGGAGGAAGGTCGTATATGAAGGAGCAGCGCCAGAGGACAGAATTGAGGGGTTTTCGCTACGGGTATTTCGTGCTTAATTTCTTGCCAGTGTTGAAATTTGAAAGTTAGGGTTTTGAGTGAATGAATTCCATCGTCTTGAAGGAGCTTCTATTTACTTGGAAAATAGTGAGATTTTGCTTTTAGTTTTAAAGTTCTTGTTTATGGTATGCTAGTGGGTTCAACCAGTCAATTGCCCGTTAGGTTGGACAAATATCTCTCATTACAGTAGTTGAGATTGGACTTTAATTTCACCTTCAATGAAGTGGGTTAAATTGCCTAACCTGCTTACTTTTTCAGACTGATATGAGATTGTTTTTACATGTGAACTTATGTAGGCGAAGAAGATGATGTGCATAGGAGCTAGGAAATGCTCCATGGAAAAGTATGGATGGAAGTTCCTAAATCCTTGGCTTGCTTGTACTAAATTCAGGAATCATTTGATGATGCAGCATTTGCCTTCCATGTTTAGTATGTTTATAGAAGGTACTTCTTTTCTTCTTCTCTTCTCTCACCCTCCATCTGCCCTCTTTTGTTTTCTTGTTATTAATCTTGGTAGAACTTGAACTAGATGTGTATTCCTTAAAATTGTTCATGTGAGATGTTTTTTTGTTCAAAATACTTAGTTAGCACCTATGAAGTTAATTAATGTATTACATAAGCAGTTGTTGATAACTCAACATGACTTGTACTTCTCTTTTTGTTGAAATTATAGGTGGATGCATCATTTATTCATATGAGGTGAAGAATGCTTGAAGAGACTAGTATAGGCTTGCTAACCATTGAGATATTCTCAATATTGAGGATGATAATTGTATTCTGGATATGTATAGAAGTATAGAACACAATATTTTTTTTTTGCTATATGAGTGACATAACACTTTTTGAATAAGATCAATATCATGTTTTGATTTGTTGTCTAATGTGCAATTAGAACTTAATTGCCATATAAATTAATTGTTGGTTAGAAACTGTTCACAACTCTCATTCAACTACCATAGGCTAAATAGTCACTTAAACATACATTTTGGCGACCATAATAAGGAGTTGCGTGAGTACCAACTTCCACAGATTGTTTGGCGACCATCGCAAACGGTTGTAGAAACCTCTCATTTGACAACCACAAATGAGATTGTCCCCTGAAATGCCTTACGCCAACCATTTTATATCATTGCTGAAAACATGTAAAGCCAACCATAGATATATCGTCGCCGAACTGGTGTTCCACCGACTATACAATATGGTCGGCTAATGTATACATTCGACGACCATCCAATATAATGGTTGCCTAGGATCTATGCCGACGTAGCATTGCCAACCATCTTGGCAACCATTTTTTATCGTCGGTGAAGTGTATCGCCGACCATTTTTTTCGTTTCGGCGACCATTCTTGATGGTTGCTGAAAGCATATTTTCTTGTAGTGCTTCTTCTACAAGCAATGGCAACTAGCTTCGTTCAAAAACCACACTTCCCTTAATTCCAAACCAAAACCAATCACCAAATCAATCACAACAAACTTTCTTTGCTACACTTGCTATCACATTTTCAAGCACAAGAGTGAATGAGGTAAAAAATCATGTATGTGTTCCTAAACTTGACTACTAAGAAACACATTTTTGGATCATTCATGACTTTTTGTGGTGGCTCTCCTTTCTTCCTAGTCCTCTTTAGTTCTATCTTTTTTATTTCTTTTCGTTACCACTTGTTTAGGGCTAGTAGAGAACTACAAACACACGCCACATTCATGAACTTAATGAACAATGCTCACTTTTAAGAACTTCCTCCAACATTCACTTTTTCATCTTTAGCGAACCATGCACAAATCACTCATGTGGAACCTCAATTAAGCTCAAATGATATGATGGGAGCTTCCAAACACAATGGTGACTCGACAATGGTGTAGACTCGAAGAAAGTAAGGGTTGCTCCATCTATCTCAATCAAGCTCATGTAGCGAGAGCTACCTAACACAAGAGTGAACCTTCGACACGTGGCTCAACAAGGTTGACTAGAGGATAATTCAATCACGACAAGTCGAATTTGGGGTTGTGGACTAAACCTATGCCTCCATCTTCCTTGCTGGTGAGAACGTGAATGCTACACATCATGGTAAGAGGGATCTATCACACAAGAACAAAACGGGCTATATAAATCTCACATGCTACCAGACGCTCAATCATTCATTCCAACTTCGAAATTTTGATGCATAAGCGATTGTAGTCAATCCAAAACATTCACTGGTTCGCAAAACATGAGAATTGAACATTTACACAACCCTAATGCATATCTCAGTCATCATCCGCAGTGAATCTGTCAATTGAAACGAATTGGGAAATTACAATGTGAACTAACTGCGGACTAGGGGGCTCATATCTAGATGACCTTTTGCATATTGAAACCATAACATTTACTGCTTTATGGTTTGTTTTAGTTTTTTTATAATCTTCACGGAGTAGACAGTAAATCTAGGAGCCAGGTTGACAAGTAATACTGAGCCCACTATACTGCATTTCCAGACTACGATTACAGTTGGTCGTAGTTGGATGTTATATTGTAGCGAGTCAGTCATACTCATGAAACATAGCTATTCCTATATCCTCTAAGGTCCAATTTTTTCGTTCTACAACTCCATTTTGTAGAGGAGTGTGGCGGCGCAGAGAAATCATGTTCAATTCCTAGTTCATTGCAAAAAAACTCAAATGGAGAACCATCAAATTCACCGCCATGATAGCTGCGAATTTTAATTACCTTCATTTGTTTTTCATTTTGAACTTTTCTAACGAAATATTTGAAAACATCTATACTCTCATCTTTGTTTCTAAGAAAGAAAACCCAAGTGTAATGAGAGTAGTCATCTTTGTAAGATTGCAGTACCCAGCAAGAACATAAAATTTATAATAGTAGAGACGGTAAGAGTAAAGACAAAGGATATTTGTTAACGAAGTTCGGCTAATCCTACGTCTCCTCCCAAGTGTGACTATCCCCTTGAGACCTAGTATCATGGATTTTCGTATTACGATTTATAACCACAAGTTTATTCTTTGGGTGAGAATCAAACCCTTAACAAGAAATTTATAGAAGTTTAAACTCCTCTTGTACTCACAGGCATACACACTGCTAAAGAGAAAAGACATCGGAGCTCTCACACACAAGCTGTGCACTCCTATATGGACTAGTTTGCAACCACGGCGACACTTTATATTTGCTTCTTTTCACTTAACAACCTTGACCCTGCTTCTTCTTCCTTCTGTCTCTTATATAGCAGATTGTTTTTCGAAAGCCTGTTGCTCAAATAGTTCAAATTGCATGAAGAAATTTAAAGCCTTCAGCACTCCATCAACTACTCACGAACAACTCAATTCCATTATCTCTACATAAGTACCATAACCATTTATGTCTTTAGTTCAAAAGAATAATAATATAAATGTTGTTTTCACAAAATCAAAAACTCCATCTCTTGGTGCTCTCCACAAGTTGTCTTTGCTGTAAAGAGCATCTTGGGGTTGTAAATTTTGATATGCACATTTCAAAATAAAATATATTCTACTGTAGAAATATATTTAATATAATATATATCAAAGAAAATAAGATGTAGGAAAGACAAGTTTCAAACATGTCGGTGACTGGATTTCGGCGCTGATAAGCATAGTCCAGCCACGATTACTAGATTCTGAAGCCGGTAAGCACAATTAGCCTCTGTTTTCACAACCGGACCGCAGACTGAACCGGAAAAGTTAGTGGTTTAGGGTTCAGTGGTTAACCGTTACAAAACCGTTGATAGAAACGTTCATGATATAGACTTGTATATTACACAAATTTAAGAATAAAGTTATCATTGACCATAAACAATTTCAAATTCATATCATCACCAAAATATCTACTAAATCTTTCAAACTATCTGATAAAAGAAATCATAATATTTTTTAATTCAAATTAAAAATTACAATGTCAATCGATAGTGGACAAAAAGGTTGGAAAATGAGAAGCGAAAGCATATGTAAAATTAATAATTATGGTTTGATGGTCTTAGTTTATGTTTAAAAAATAAAATAAAAATTATGGTAAAAATAGTGAACCACTAGACCAGTTAAACCGTGGTAGTTCATCTGGTTTTATGTTGAGCCGTGGAAAATCGTTTGGTCCATCAATAACCGTCCAAGCAATGAACCGGGCCGCTATCGTAACTGGTTTGATTATTCTACTGGCCGACCCGTTGATCCGGTTCAATTCTTATAACAAAGCATTTAGCATATTTCGGCAACCAAAATTTTGGACAAAATGTAAAATTTGGTTTTTAATTATTTTATTTTTTCATCATTATTTTTACTTTTTATTGATTATTTAAACATAATATTCGCAATAACTATTATACTTTTCATTGCTTTTACACTAGATCAATTTAACTAATAAAAAATAATCACAATGCTAGCTTTCTATTGGTTGAACACTAGTGTTGTCACCTGATACGAATATGGCGAGTAACTAAATATGAACTTTCATTTTTAAGTGGGCTCGGAAAATTAAGATCTAAATGTTGGAAATTAAAGGCATTTTATTTTTCCTAATTTTCTTAATCGACACTTATCTTCTTCATTCTAACTCAGATTTCAATTTTTGTTCACACATGGAACGAGTTCATTGTGCTCTACAAAATGAGATCCATTTTCTATATTTTCTTAGGAAATTTTTTTCATACTTCTCGTTACCAACTCCATATCATATAGTATCTCCGTTTCTAGTTTAAACCCGCTACACTATTCATCGGGTTGGGTTGGGTTTGGGTTTAGGTAAACCCGCCCCATGGGTACCCGCCCACACATATAATTACTTTCCCGGTATATTTAATATTCTAAATAATATATCTTCTTTAAGCAACTAATATTATTTATGTTTGTGGAGACATGTATAATTTGTTCTTTCTAATTATTTAGAATGAAGTTGATATTATGGAGTGGAGAGTGAAGAAACTTATTTGACGAGGAAGAAGATTTCAATTAATCTTGTTGTTTATAGATGTTTATCTTTAATTTTGAACAATTTGTATTGATCATTTGCGGTTTGCTTGTATGTTCTAGATTGGTATTTTTTGTATGAACAATTTGTTTGAGAAAATTGATGTAAAACTTTTATTTTGAAAGAAATTTGTTATTGTAAATTTTTTACCACAAAACCCACGGGTACCCATGAACCCGCGGATACCCAGCGGGTTGGGTTGGGTTTGAGTTTTTCAAACCCAACGTTTTTACCCCGGGTTTTTTTGACGGATAAACCCATGGGTTTGGGTTTGGGTTTGACAAAACCCGCCCCAACCCGACCCATTGTCATCCCTAGTGCATAACAACCCTACACTTCATTATCTTTTTCCAGATCCACGATCGTGTAGTAGGTGGTTTAACATTCCAAAGATCTTGTTGCTTCACCTTGTACTTCATTGTACAAGCAACCAATAAAGAGCCACTCAAAATGAGTAAATTCCATATTGTCTTACAACTTAGGCTTTGTTTCAGATACTAAAATTATGAATGTCGAGTCCTCCTTCACGCTTTGGTCGAGCAATAAACTTCCATGCCATCTCAACCCTAGTACGGTGCCCTATTTCACTTACATCCCAAAGGAAGGTGTTGCAAATCTTCTCCACTCCAGTGATAACATACTTGGGGAGGAGAAACAAGTTCGTCCAATACTGCAGTAGACTTGTAAGAACAGAAGTGATAAGTTTCACCCTACTTGAAAAACTCAAAGCTTTCGCTCTCCAACTTTGGATTCGCTGGGTGATTTTATCAACCAGCACTTTGAAGTCCTTCCACATTAATTTACTTGAAAAAAGAGGGACACCGAGATACTTAACCGGCAAAATTCCTAGAGGGAAACTTATATAATTCTAGATTGCTTGAATTTCACCTCTAGGAATACCTTTACATAAGAGTTGACGTTTTCAGGATTCGATCTCAGCCCTAAGACAACATAAAACTCATCCAAAAATTGCCTCACCCCTGCTACAATTGACTCGATTCTAACTCACAATCGAAGTTGAGTTTAACCAACGACCTGGTGTAGCATATGGTAACCAAGTCATAAAATTATCGAACCATGGGTCTCTAGGTGTAACTTATTTTGGTCTTCGCTTCGTTATCTAGCCAACCTAGAAAAGTGATTAAACTAACCAACCTAGCTACACTACCCTAGTTAATTACAAGTTTGGAGCTCTCTTAGCTGGTATCCCACTATTTCCACCATTTAGACCGATATTGAGTACCATCCTAGGTCAATTGACTTGGTATCCCTACCGTTAGGAGATAGAATCTCTCTCGAGATTGACCCAGAATGGCAAAGTGATGGATTGATAAGTTCTCCATTCAACCTAGGGAAACCCTATATCATTAGGAGATCGGTCGAAATGACTCCTTCGGAGGATTTTCCGGATGATATAGAATAATGGGTGACCCTAATTGCCAATAATGGACTAAAAGGGGATTTTCTCCCTCCTATGTCAAAAGCTCAATTGACATGAAATGGAATTTAAAATCAGGAAATCCATAACAAACATCCATCATATAGATAATATGAACAATCAAACATAGGATTTGTAACATACATCAATATCTAATCAAAATCTAGACCTAGGGTTCTTCAACCCAAGAGAATATGACTAATTCTTGAGAGAGAAGAGAGAGATTACTAAATAGCTCAAGATCTTCATCTTCTATAGACTTGAATCCTTGACTCCAAGATCTACCCAAACCTCCAATTAAGCTCCAAGATCACTCTCTCTCTAGAAATGTGATTGGTGCTTCGATCGAGCTTTAAATTTTGTAGAGTCGAAGTGCACTTACTAGTCAATCCTAACAAGACCAAGTATAACCTAGCTAGGGGATGTAGTAAAGTGGCTCGGTCGTATTCCAAGGGTCACGGTATCCTAGGCTACTTAGGCACATTCATTATCTAGTCAACCTATTGTTTGGCAGGTGGGCAATTGACGATTCCTAAACTAAAGATCGATAGATGATAAGACGTACTTTGGGGAACTTTCCCTCACCCTAGCCTAGGTCTACTATGCAATGTCTAGATACTTAGGGTTTTTCGAATGTGGCGAGTGAGCTCTTTTTCGTGGGCTTTCGTGGTTATCCACACGCCTCTGAGTACGCCTCCCCTAAACCCATGTAAGTCACCTTGATCTAGGCTATCGTATATGGGGCATTAAGCTTGTAGCTCCTTTCAAAGAGTACTACCCACCGTCCACACCGAGGTTTCATCCCGGATTCTATCTAGGAAGGCTACCTATGGCAGGGGTTCGGTCGCCTCGACCACCATAAATCCTTATTCATACATCTAACCTCAATATGCTTGATGGTGCATACCCGTATAACTCTAAAACTCCAAACCTAGCGTAGAAGCATAAATTAGGCTAGTAGAGAGCATTAGGGCGACTTACCTAAACACAATCAAAGATAGAATAACAATAAAATCAACTGGATAGACAGATTTTTTCAGTCAAACCCTAAAATATTCATACATACATAGTAACCCCTAAAATTAGGGTTTGGGGTTTAGAACCCATAGTACCTTGGGAGATCACCCCATGAAGGGGGGAAGAAAAGACATACAAAGAGGGGAAGGAATCATGAAGAAAGGATCTTCAAGTGATGGAAATCTTCATCCAAGATCTCCTCCTCTTCTTCTCCTTCCTTCAACTCCTCTCTATAAACTCTCTCTAGAGTTAGAAATATGCCAAAAGCCATATTCTAAAGGGGAAGGAGTCCCCTATTTATAGAGTTCTGAAATTTTTGGCAAGTTCACGACCAAGGGGTGGAAGTTCATGGTCGTGAACTTATGAAGTGGGGCCGCGATCTTGGGTCAACCGATTTGCGCGTTGAAAACTCGAAGTTCACGGGCTGACATCTCGGTCGTGATCCATGATGTCACAACTAGAAACTTTCTCGCGGGATCGCAGGACAATGGTCGTGACTCAACTGGGGAAAATCTTTGTTTCTCCTTCGTTGGCTGCCTCTCCAAGTTCGCGCCCATCACTCTAGAGATTGCAGTTGCAATCTTCAGGCTGGAGGCCAGGATCATAGCTCTTTCTTCGCGTCCTCCTTTCCTGGTCGCCCATAACTCTACACTTGTGCCCTTTTTTGTACCTAATTCGCATGTATGGTCTAAAGCACTCTAAAATCACATCATAGTCAAATAGGAACGAAATATGGATGAAATTGATGCTATTCAAATGACTATGCACATGAATTAGCACGAAACAAACCTAAATATGAAAGGTAAATAACACCAATTTAGGTGTTATCAAAATGTCTCTTTGAGTGCTTTGGGTCGGAACCCTGAAGAAAATCCGAGCTCTCTTTTTTCTCCCATCTGCTGCCTTTTTATATGCCCGAAAGTGCAGACTTCACGATCACTATTAACAGCTGTGATATCAGCAAGAAACCGGTGGTCTTAGCTGAAAATGCACCATTTTGTGCACACTTCATGGTTTTGGAGTGATTTTTACGCCCCCCAGGCCGTGAAGTGTGCACAGCTCACGAGATGCACAAAGGTTGCTGGAAATTGCACACTTCAGGGTTTTGGTGTGATTTTCACTCCCTCGGGGTGTGATGCTAACACCCAACCCATGAACCTCGCACATACTCCATTTTTTGGTTCGTTTTGACCTTCAAATCTCCCGAAACTTGTACCCGACCTCCCACACGTACTATGACCTGAAATGTGACAAAAGAAGCCAAACCTAGCGTAAAATAGGTCGAGGAATGACGATTGCCAAGTCAAACACTCAAAATATAAAGGGGTAAAATCATGTGTAAATTTGCTCGAATCAGCACATATAGATCCATTCAGAAAGACAAGAAGATCGTTGACAAAGCGTAGGTGAGTTACACCTAATGCTTTGCATCTCGAACGAAAGGGAATTTGAGATGTGGCCACTGCCCTTTTAATTAATGCGTCAAAGACCTCCATGGCCATAGTGAACAAATAAGGCGATAAGGGATCGTCCTAACGCTAGCCTTTCTTCATCCAAAAAAACCCACATAAACCTCCATTGAATGCTACACTTACCATAGGCGAGCAAACACAAGTATCTAAAAGAAAAGTAATAGTTACTAGATATTGGTTTTGTTTTTTCCAAGTTATTGATTAACTGTCCATTAGTTCTCTAAACTCTCTCTTTATTTATTAGTCGTTTCATGTTTTATATTGGCTTTGTCAAGAGTTGTATTTTTCTTTTTAACTTTATACTACTATATAACTACATATTAATAAAATATGGGTTGATGTACCACAATTTTTTTAGTTTGATATAAAATTATTTTTTAAAAACTAAGAATTAAAATAATTTTGTTATGTTACCTAGCTGTCATTTAAACTATAGACAAAAAATGACTTTCTAACCCGTTTTTCATCATTTTTTTATAATTATGATAACTATAAAAACTATAAAAACTAATACAATTTTCAGGAAATCTCAAGACTTTCCAACAGTTTACCTAGCCCGCTAAATCTTCACTAAGTATACTTTGATTTTCATATTTTAATTATTTTCATTGTAGTTTAATTTTTAATTTAAAATTTTATCTATCTTATAAATAGTGTCACCTTTACTTCAAATTTCCTGCCAATTCTCGAAAGAGTATTTAGGGAAGTTGTTTACTAAAGGTTTGCAGAACGCGGCAGTAAAATCCTTAAGAAAAGCTAATGGCCCCAAATACTGTCCCAACCCTACCACCACAACCATCACCGTCTGTCCAAAGCTCTACATCCGAATCTACTGACCTTTAGTCTCTGCAGCCACAAACCTACTCCACTCTGATTGCCGAAAGCACGACATAGAACACTGAAAGCTGTGATGTTTCTTCATCAATCGCAGTACCATTAGGTAATCTTGCGATGATAGTCATGAAGCAACCGCACCAGCTATGGCCACCATAGTTCCCTATCTCCGATTGTTGAAATTGAAGGAGTTAGAGGAATATTGTCCGCCCACGGAGAGGAGGATATTGACTGCGTAAGTTAATCATTATTCATTAATACATGATTGATTACTCTTACACTACAAGTGTTTATTTATGGTATGTAATCTACGTTCATCATCATCTTCAATTAATCAAAGTTCATAGGGAGATGAGAAACCTCATCCCATTAACAAATCAAGGGGTTAGAGGGGTTCTGATTGGGAAGAAGTGTCTTTCTATGCTTTGGAACTAGATCGAAAATCATTTTACTCTTTGAGTCCAGCAAGTCTGACGTCTCAGTGGCTATATTAATTGTTGAAATTGGAGACGATTGGGTTTTCTATTCATACAAAATTGAATTATGTCTATGTTCATCCTTGATCTCATATATTCTCTTACAAATTCAGCTGAACCTCTATTTAATGAGATTCTAATAAACAACTTTTTCAGTTACATACTTACTGTACCAATGGCGTTCAAAATGTTGTGTGTTAACCTTATGTGGATGTATAGTATATTATGTCTACTTAGTTGTTCAAAGGCTTCTAGGTTGTCTTTCACTTGTGCCTCAGAATCTAGATTTCATGCCTATTTTAAGAAAATTAATGATGTAAAATTTTGGAGGTTAAAATGAAGCAATCCACTTACTATGTCATTTTATTATACTAGACCTTTTGGTTTTAGTTCAAACTAGAGCACAACATATATATGGGTGGTTCTATCGTACCTTGGGTAAAAAAAAGAGTAACCACCCATATATTATATTTTGACTTTCCTTCAACTAGTTAGACTCAATTACCCATTTCATTTTACTATTTTTCATTCAAAAAGTGTTTTCCTTTCGTTTATCTTAAAAAGTAAACTATTGTGTGTATTGTTTTCAAATAACATGTAAGAGTAGGTCGACCCGCCTAGCCTCGACCCATGCTTGGTGTGGGGCGAGTATGGGTATTGAGATACCCACCCGACCATGCCCCATTGTCATCGCTAAGTTACCTGATTTATGCAGGTTACTAGCACCTAAGGGCCCGTTTAGTATTGTTGCTTGTTTTTGTTTCCTGTTGTGTTTTAAGAAATTTGGAAAACCAAGAAAAAAATTCGTGTTTAGTTGGGTTTTTATTTTTTGTTGTGAATCAGAGTTGCACAACAAGGCCCAAATATGAGAAACAACAATTTATAGCTTTGGATATGATTCTTAAACATGTTGCACACGGGATTCCTACTAGTTGGGCGCTTGATTTCATTAAAACATACCAGTTTTCGAATCCCCACAGAAGCAAAAAAAAAAAAATCTTTTTTTTAACACATACCACCCCCAACCCCTACTTACTTTCAGCCGCCCCCAACCCCTCCATTTTCTCTCGAACTCGAGGCGCCGCTCTCCCCCTCCAGCCATAAACCCCGGCCGCCTTCTCCCCACTCCAGCCATAAACGCCGGCCGCCTCCGCCCTTCCGACCCTCCGCCTCCGCGCCTCCCGACCGGCCGCCTCCGCCCTCTCGACCTCCGCCTCCGCGCCTCCCGACCGGCCGCCTCCGCCCTCCCGACCCTCCGCCTCCGCGCCTCTCCTGCTCAACAGCCACTGCCGCGAGCCCCGCCTGCCCAGCCGTCGCCGCGAGCCTCGCTTGCCCAGCCGCCGCCGCCCGACCTTGTCGCCGCCGCCCGCTCAACATATCTCTTTTTTCTGGTTTTTAGTTCTTATAGTAGTAACTAAACGCGTTTTTGTTTCTTGTTTTCAGCTTTCATGATTTTTCAGATTTATCAACTAAACAGGTTTGTGTTTTCTGTTTTTTTCCTGTTGTGGTTGTATATCTGTTTACACAACACCACTGCAATCGCAACAGTAACAAAATGATACTAAACGGGACCTAAAGTTTCAAGCTTGATTTGACGAGGCTTTTTGGTCCAGCTCTTTCTTGAAGTTATTTGATAATTATTTCCTACAAATTTACTTGATTGATGATGTTGTCTTCTGTTTTCATGTTTTGCAAATCATGGATTTTCAACTCAGAGAATTCCTTAATGTGAAGATATGCTTACCTTTTGGCTGGAGAGGGGATAGGGTAAAATGCATTGTTTTTTTGTTTCAATTCTTTGGTGTTATGTATATTTGGTTGTTCAAAGGACACGAGGTAAACTATGGGGTCGTTTGTTTCATGGATTTAAAAATGAGGGTTTTGTAATTTAAAAACCCAAGGATTTATCAAGGATTTGAGGCATCATGGATTTGTAACAATCCTTTGTTTGTTGGGATGTTTTTATCATGGATTTAAAGGTGTGAGATTTACTACTTGAAGTCAAAAATTACATTACTGCCCTTTTCTATATGTTTAACATGTTTATGATATGTACACAAAACAAGGACAAAACTTCAAAATTACCTTACTATCATTTTCTATATGTTTGACATGTTTATGATATGTACACAAAACAAGGACAATACATACTAATAAGCATAATGTTGCCACATGGACAATAATAATAAACGAGAAAATTCCGTTTTAACTTTTAACGTAACATAATCAATTACCAATTCTTTGTCCTCCTTTTCAAAAGTAACATATAACAACATATATTAGAATCGGGAGAACAAAGAATTACACGTTCCATGAAAAGGTCAAAGAAAACTAGAACACAAGGAATGATATAAAAAATCAAACTCATGTTTGCACATTAGTTGAAAGTTTATATTATTCATTTATTGTTAATTATAATGTATAATAGTTAAATTTGAGGGCAACCTTGGAATATTAAAAGTGCATGAGGGTATATGGGTAAAATCTCATCAAGGATTTATGCCATATTCCAAATCCCACATCAACATGTGGAATTTATAAGTCCGTGGGGTCCACGGATTTGGACCCTTAAAATCCGTGGGCCCCACGGATTTGGTCTCCAAGGTGCAAGCAAACAACGGATTGTACCTAAATCCTTGATAGTTGGTTTTTTGGTACCAAATCCATGTACCAAATCCTTGAAGCAAACGACCCCTATATTAAGCTTGAACCATTAATAACATTGATTCTAGATTCATTTGATGGTCGTGGGTTTATCAAATCCAAAACTTCTACTGTTAATATACTTGCTTATTGTTATGCTTTGTTGATTTTCTCGCTTATTAATTTCAATTTGGATAGAAATAATATCATAGCAAGTGGGGAAGAGTCCTTCTTCCTGGGCGTTTATGGGGAAAAAGGGTCTCAATGACGCTTTAGATGTTCATGTTAATACACAGGTAGGCAAGACCAATGATTTATAGGCAGAGGATATGATCCTGCTATCTTTGCAGTATTACTATTGTGATATATGAAAGTTGTTGGTGTATTATATATCATATTTTTAGTATTGGACCTAATTTTGATCGACTCACTAGGAGTGAGAAGCTTAATAAATTGTTCACTTTAAACATGTGTAGTTAATTCATAATTAAATTAATTGTATTCATTATATTATAGCCTATATTCAATATAACCTTTGACTCGCAAATTATCAATAAATAATTTTTATGTTAAATATTTTCCTTTGAAATGTATACTCTCATGAACATACCCATCCTGATTTGCACCCGAAACCAAAATACTCGGCTTGTCATCGTATGATTTTCAGAGATTGAGAATTGAGGGATGAAACAAAAAATACAAAATATAGTAGAATATAAAACAAATAAAATTTTATCGGACAACAAGTCAGGTCATTGCAAGCATAAAATTGTCGGAGGCATCTGGCTGTTCAGGGTGAAGCCCTGTTGGTGCATAAAATTGCAAACAGTTAACCCCAAGTTTGATCTCGCTATGCTATCACAAAATATGGTGTGTGCGTAGGGGTGGAAATTGGGGCGGGTAACCACACCCACAAATATAGAATTATGCTACCCACGTAGTGGTTAATCACTACCCGCTGCGGGTTGGTTGTGGATACCCACAAAAATTTCACATTAAATATAATAATATTGTAATTAAATAGTGATGTTGTGTTTCTTCTCAAACAAAAACATACATAAAAGAAAGTTAATAAAGTGTTAAATAAATTATAAATCTCGAATACAATTGGTTAGTTAGTGTAAATTCAGAAGAGATGGATTTGGAAAGAGGTTTGAAGATAATGGAGAGGAGGAGTGATTTGTTACCAGACAAACATCGTCGCATGTCACGACTCCTCCGATGGCAACAACAGCAAAACACAAAAGTGGTTCTATAAGTGGAGGCGCCCGCTTTTAATGAATCGATTATTCTCACTCTCGATTATAGTATTGTATTGTTGGTAGTTGATTGCATGTTGTGTTGTTCGTGAGATTGTGGAGAAATGGAGATGAGTTTGGGTATCGGACTAATCTTTAGCGATTAATCCCCTCTTTTAACGAATCGATTAATTTATCTGACTATATCTATGGAGTTGATTTTGTTATAAAATAAACATATACCACACGGAGAATGGTTATTTGATAAAAGTAACTCACATGAACATTGCGTATTGACTTGGTTTTGTTTTATAGAATAAGTGTGTATTTGATTTTGGTAGCTACTTTAATTCTTAGTCTTCCAAGTTTCACAAACTAATATAACTAATGTGGTTAATAAGGGTTACAAAATATTTTGAAGAAATAAATATAACTAATGTGGTTAATATGGATTTTGTGGGTAAACCGCTGTGGGTAGTGGTTAACCACTAACCACAAAATCAATATTTTGCTACCCACACCCAACCCACTATCCACAAATTGTGGATATGGCCATATGGGTATCCACAAAGTGTGCGGTTTGTAGGTTACCCGCAACCCGCAAACCAAACTTCCACCCCTATGCGTGTGGATGTTTCTGGATAATAAAAAAAAGATGGTCCAAATCCAAAGGTTTAGGAAACCGTACCGGAGATTATACTAGAAAAGTGAGTGGTAGAATATTTTGTACTAAAACCATGGTTTAACCGTGATTGAACCGTTTCTTACCACTAAAACCGCCTACCATTTTGTGTCCGTTATCCGGTATTTCCGATCCGACCAGCTGGTATGGTAGGGTTTCCTAAACCTTGCTAAATCTAACGAGTGAGCGGGTTGAAGGCAGGCGAAGGGAGTCAAAACTCGGGAGCGGATCCTGTTAGTAAGCCATAGTTCAGTAATCATGCATTACCCAATCACCATCCGCCACATCAACGCCTCTTCTCTCCTGTAAAGCCTTTAATTTTTTACATCTTAATCTTTAACGATCGATTTCACACTCGTTTTAAGTCATTATTTAAATTTTTTTGCATAGTTAGATCAGACTAATTGTGCTCTTCAAAATGATATCCACTTTGATATATTTTTGGAACAAAAAACTTGAACCATTTTTTACTAATCTATACCATATGGTATTGAAATAAGAGCATACCATATGGTATGAAAAGCGTACCATGGTGGTATGAACATACCAAAACTGTAGGATGGTTAAATACATGTTAGTTAGGAGTATACTAACTGTAATTTACGATTTTCAACATTGTGTATCACAAGATACCACCTCATACCAGGGTGGTATTGTGTTGTATTTTTTGGTCTTGTATTTTGTGCACCAAAAAATTTGTAGATCCAATAGATCATGATGAACTCGTTCTATCTGTGCAAATTTTTTTAAAAATGACTTAAAAGTGAAGAATATACCATATGGTATGTAGTTAGCAACGAGAGGCATGAAATTTTTTTCTCAAAAAATATTGTAAAATGGATATCATTTTGTAGAGCACAACGAACTCATTACATCTGTGCAATGAAAATTGAAATTCGAGTTAAAACAAAGAAGATATGAGCCGATTAAGAAAACAAGAAAAAAAATACATTTAATTCTCTCTTTTAGATCTGAATTTTCAATAACATTCACACTTAAAAGGAAGAGTACAAATTTAGTTACTGATAGCTGATAGGTGCATACCATGAGTTATGCATCATATTCAGAATCATCGAAACTCAAAAGAGAGGGTTATGCACCGTATCCGGAGCTATCGAAACAAAGAAGAGAGTTCAGATCTTTCTAGAAGCGGACCATAAAGTGCCATTCTCTAGACATCTCTCGCGGACTGCCTCAAATTCCAAGCTTCGAGTTCTCGCCAGCGTCAGCAAAGCAAAGGGAGTTATTACTCTTCCGAATAAGAAAATAAACTAAACCGAAAAAAGAATTAAAGAGGGAGAGGGAGATATTTCTAGAATCAACCACACACGTCCTTCCCTTCGCAGCTCAGCTCCGCTCGCTTTCATTCCTTCTCCCTTTAAAGGTGCGACGATACTTATAACCCTAACCTTCTCTTCTCTGCGCGACGATTCGATTCAGTCTAGTCTCTGAGCGAATCTCGGGGTTCTGTGCTTGCGTTTCATCGCCTGAGCTCTCTCTCTCTCTTCAACTCCCTCGTAGATCTGTGAGTTTCATTCATTGCTTCAGGTCCGAGACTTGGAATAGCTTTCCTCGTCTTCCTTATTATTGAATTTAATTGAGCGTTGCTGGTTTCTTTTGTAGCTGATTGATTGGGGGATTTCCAAGCCGATCTTTTTTTTTTTTATCTTTCAAATTTTAAGCTTTCTGCTCTGCTTCAGTGGTTTTTTGTTGCTTTGGCGATCTTGCTTTAAATGATAGATTAGGCCAATCGTTGGTGGTGAGTGTGGCATAGGCCATAGGGTGTAAGCAGACTGAAGGTTTTAGGTTTTGTGAATGGCGGCTAAGGGTCAGTTGATCGATTTCTCTTTCAAAAATGCCAGCCTGGGTTAACTTCTTACCGTTTAACTGATGGAGTAGTGAGTTTATCTTTTCTTTCCCAGAAAGTTTGATTGTCTTTGTCTATAACCTGAGATCCTATTAAACCCTCTGACGGGATTAGAATTGGTGAACCATGCATTGATATGTAGGTGTTTAAGTTCTGAATGAGCCTGTACACATTACATTACGTCTATAACCTGTCTCATGACGCCCATTTTGCGCTTTAACTTTCTGGGTATTTAGTCTTTGGCCATCCATTAGCCATTGTTCCATATGCATGTTGTTTGGTAAAATGGCGGCAAGCAAACCGGTTTCTTTTTTTGTCCTTGCCTAATTTGACATTTAACGGGTGGAAAAGATTTGTTGGCTTTGAGGGTTTCATTGAATTGATCTTCAAACAGTAGAAATTGGCCCTCATCAGGTGCTGGAGTTATTTTTGTTTCTTGTAATTTGATTGGTGGCTAATTTCTAGTTGATCTACTCCAGGATGATATCATTTCCATCTTCCTTCTTTGGTTGATTGTCTAAAATCCTTTGTCTAACTTGGTTTGTTACTATTGTTCTCTTGCTCAGGTGGTCATCCTGAATACTGACTTGTTCAGTGAATTTGTTGGATTTAGGAAAACATGAGTGTGGTTGGCTTTGATTTTGGAAATGAAAACTGCCTTGTTGCTGTGGCAAGACAAAGAGGAATTGATGTCGTTCTTAATGACGAATCAAAACGTGAGACTCCAGCCATTGTTTGCTTTGGAGAGAAGCAAAGGTTCATTGGTACTGCAGGGGCTGCCTCTACTATGACTAACCCCAAAAATTCCATTAGTCAGATTAAGCGCTTAATTGGACGCCCATTCAGTGACCCTGAATTGCAGAGGGATCTAAAGTCGTTGCCATATGCTGTCTCTGAAGGACCTGATGGGTTCCCCTTGATCCATGCTCGGTATTTGGGCGAAATGAGGACATTCACGCCTACTCAGGTTTTGGGAATGGTGCTGTCAAATTTGAAAGAGATAGCAGAGAAGAATCTCAACACTGCAGTGGTTGACTGCTGCATAGGGATTCCTGTTTATTTCACCGATCTACAGCGAAGGGCTGTCTTGGATGCTGCCACAATTGCAGGATTGCATCCGCTTCGTTTGTTTCATGAAACTACTGCAACTGCACTTGCTTATGGAATTTACAAAACTGACTTGCCTGAAAGTGACCAAATGAATGTCGCTTTCGTTGATGTTGGCCATGCGAGTATGCAAGTATGCATTGTTGGATACAAGAAAGGGCAGCTCAAGGTACTGGCACATGCTTTTGACCGGTCCCTAGGAGGCAGAGACTTTGATGAAGCTCTGTTCACCCACTTTGCTGCAAAGTTCAAGGATGAGTACAAGATAGATGTTTATCAGAATGCCAGAGCTTGTCTCAGGCTGAGAGCTGCTTGTGAGAAATTAAAGAAGGTTCTCAGTGCTAATCCTGAGGCACCTTTGAATATTGAGTGTTTGATGGAAGAGAAAGATGTGAGAGGTTACATTAAGAGAGATGAGTTTGAACAGATTAGTCTGCCTATATTGGATCGTGTGAAGAAGCCATTGGAGAAGGCTCTTCATGATGCTGGACTTTCTGTTGAGAATGTTCATACAGTTGAGGTTATTGGTTCTGCATCTCGTATACCCTCTGTTTTTAAGATTCTGACAGAGTTCTTTGGCAAGGAGCCAAGGCGCACTATGAATGCTAGTGAGTGTGTTTCTAGGGGGTGTGCTTTGCAATGTGCTATCCTTAGCCCCACATTTAAAGTGAGAGAATTCCAGGTAAAATTCAAGGACCATGGATTGTATAAGCTATAGGAAGCTTTGCTAGAATAAATATCTCTTGCTTTAGTTGTTAGCTTTAATTTATTTTGATTTATTTTATCGTTACTAGTGAGCGCAGCTTATTAGTTTGTCGGTTCCTGGCTGCAAATATTTTGTGCCGGTGGTGGCTGGCATGGTCCCTGTTGAAATTTGAAAACAGTTATTTGTCTGTGGAACATAACACGCCAGTGGAAGTAACTGTTTTGTTTAACTTGCAGGTTCATGAGAGCTTTCCATTCTCAATTGCTATGACCTGGAAAGGTGCAGCACCGGAGACTCAAAATGGAGCTACTGATAGCCAACAGAGCACTCTTGTTTTCCCCAGGGGAAATGCCTTACCCAGCATCAAGTCTCTGACTTTCTACCGGTCAGAGACATTTTCTGTTGATGTCCAATATGCAGAGACAGATGGACTGGTGGCACCTGCTAAAATCAGTTCTTATACCGTAAGGAAACATGCTTAGGTATCCTTATTGCAATCCCACTTTCATCATTTTGCTGATGGTTCTGTCATCATCTTGTACAGATTGGGCCTTTTCAGGCCACAAAGGGTGAGCGTGCCAAAGTTAAGGTGAAAACTCGCCTGAATTTGCACGGGATTGTGTCCGTCGAGTCTGCAACGGTAAGTCCATTAGTTTTCCCTTTCACTCTACCACACTTGAGGCATAATTTTCATTAAGATTCGTGGGTTTATAATTACCAGCTTTTGGAAGAGGAAGAAGTTGAAATTCCCTTATCGAATGAGCCAGCCACCAAGATGGACACTGATGATGCTCCAAGTGATAGTGTGCCGCCCAGCATGAGTGAAGCTGATATGAATGCACAGGAAGGCAATGCTGGTGTTGAAAATGGTGCTTCTGATGCTGGAGATAAGCCTTCACAAATGGAAACAGATAGCAAGGTTTGTCTTCTATGTGAACTTAGCTTGGAACAACTCTATGTCATCCCTTGTTGAATTGTTCTGCATATTGGGTAAAGTTTTTTTAATTCTTGCTTTGGCATTTTGCTATTGGCAGGCTGATGCTCCGAAGAGGAAAGTTAAGAAATCCAACATACCTGTATCAGAATTGGTCCATGGTGGATTGCCTCCAGTTGATCTTCAGAAAGCAGTAGAAAAGGAGTTTGAGATGGCCTTGCAAGATCGAGTGATGGAAGAGACTAAAGACAAGAAAAATGCTGTTGAGGCTTATGTGTATGAGATGAGGAACAAGGTAAAAGCTATAACATTCCCTGGTTTGTCATGCTCTAGCTCCATGAATTTGTTTTTGGATGTTCCCATCACGTTAAGTATGAGCTAACTGGGGTGTCATGCTCTAGCTCCTTGATAAGTATCAAGAGTTTGTCACTGAGCCAGAGAGGGAAGAACTCTTGACCAAGCTACAGCAGGTGGAGGACTGGTTGTATGAAGATGGAGAAGATGAGACAAAAGGTGTTTATATTGCTAAGCTTGAGGAGCTAAAGAAGGTATTTCCTTGTTTTCTTCCAAGGAAAGAGACATCTAATGGGTATCTTTCAGTTCTAATCTAGTTGGTTTGAACATTTTCAGCAAGGCGACCCAATTGAGCAGCGCTACAAGGAGTCCACTGAGAGGGGATCCGTAATTGATCAACTTGTTTATTGTGCCAAAAGCTACAGAGAAGCTGCTTTGTCTAACGACAAATTCGATCATATTGATATGGCTGAAAAACAAAAGGTTTGTATTTTTCCCACCTGACCACGACTGTGCAATTTCCATGTTCCCTATCCTTGTTCTTCAATTTCTCTGCTTGATCGTTCTGCAGGTTCTGAATGAATGTGCTGAAGCAGAAGCATGGCTCAGCGAGAAGAAGCAGCAGCAGGACTCCCTCCCCAAGTATGCTACTCCAATTCTCTTGTCGGCCGATTTGAGAAGGAAGGCTGAGGCACTTGACAGGTATATCATTTTACTAGATCTATACACGCAGTAGTTTGCAGAATGCTATTTTTGTTTGAGAATAAGAGAAACAACAATTGGTCTTCTCGTCTACTACCAGGGTTTGCCGGCCAATAATGACGAAACCAAAGCCAGCACCACCAAAGCCGGCTACTCCTGAAGTGCCCGCGGCATCCCCTGAACAACCTCCTCAAGGTGGCCATGCTGATCCCAATGCCAATGCCAATGCCAATGTCGACCCAAGCAATAATGATGAGAAGCCTGCTGGCGATGCACCAGCAAGTGGGGAGCCAATGGATACAGACGATCAGGAAGATTCCACTAAAGCCTGATAGCATGTATCTGTGTGGGCAAGGTTGAGACCGTTATGTACAAGTGCTCTTTGGAAGGCTCTGGTTCGGGTGTAAGTGGTAGACAGTTTTGCAATTCGAATGTGTTGATGAACGATCATGTGCTGGATTTTCATTTTAATTGTTATCGGAACAGGATGAAGGATCTCTCTCTAAAATCAGCTAGGCTATTTTAAGGCAAAGGTTTTTAAGAGGATTATTATTAGGACTGGACTTCAATTCAGAAGGGTCTGCCTGCGCTGTTTTTGGCCGTGAACTGGTTTTGCAGTTAAGTCTCTAAAGATGAATATGCGCCCTTTTTCTGTCTTCATTCTCTTGTGTTGGATCTATTTTCTGTATCACGCATTGAAGATTTTACCCATTTGAGTCGGAATTATACAAAAACCAGTATGTGTTTAATGATTATTCAAGTGATGATCCTATGTGAGATTTATGGTATATTATCTCGCGGGACCTGACTGTTTGCCTGCTGCTCGGCTAAGAATAGCAGCTTGCCCATTGTCGCGAGTGCGTCCCTCACCATTACAAGCGTCATGTAGATCAAAGCCAAATCAATATTGATGGAGGCCAAATTGGGCTCTAGTAGTCTTCAAGATTGTGGCATGCACAGATGGTCACTTTGCCGTGTCCAAGTTTGGTTATTAAATCCTAATATTTGACCGTGTTCAAGTTTGGTTCTCAAATCCTATATTTGTGTTATATATCTGATTATTTACTCAAATTCTTAAACTTACACATATATGTTGTTATGAGGAGAAATATGTCTTGCGATGATTAACCTTGGCCCCCATAGATATCCGGCGAACCTGAGAGCATTTAATATGAGCTTACAGTCCTGTCGGTGGCCACCAAGAGGGTAACCCCTATAGATATCCGGCGAACCTGAGAGCATTTAATATGAGCTTACAGTCCTGTCGGTGGCCACCAAGAGAGTAACGTAGAAGTGGTAGCTGCTAAGGATCGAACATATGACCTTCTAGACACAATCATGCGCCTTTAGCACCTCTATTACCCCTTGGTAGTTATTCTTAACCATATTTGATCACATTTTTTGTCGATTTTCTCATGAGCTAGAAGTTGAGATGACTCACTAATTACAATGCTTGGATAAATCATGAGCTCAAAAGAACAAAGTTTCACGAGTTGAGTTCAACAAAGCACTTAATTGATTTGGCTTACATGATGAACAAGGTTTAGCTCAAGTTAGATCGTTAATGGACGAGTCGAACATTTTCTTAATCAAACGAGTTTTTATTAAGTCGAATATTGAAACGCTCCTAAACAACTCAACTCATTAGCAACCTTAGTTATACCATATTGACAAATTATATTCGATATTAGGTTATCCAAATATTGATATCGAACCTTGTCATAAAAATGTCGCAGCTTGAGTTGTGAACTCACTGGTCAGTTAACAACTGGAGTTGAAAATTTTCCATTTTTAGTTGTGAGGAGACGACTAGTTTCATCATAGACAACCCGTTATGTCCTTGCAAGTCGTTTTACCCAACTTGGAACAGTAAAAATACTACATTTTGTTATTTGTTTCCGATACTGAAGGATGATATCAAGGAAAAAAGTATGTTCCCGTAGATTGCTCCGTGTGATCGGTCTCACGCGTCAAATGTTGAATGAACTCGAAATCGGTTAACTACAAAGAACTACGAATTGGGTAAAACCACAATAATTTACTCCTAAATACTTTATATCATTCATGAGTAAAACATAGACAAATGTCCATATTTATTGAACAAATCCCACAAATCCCTTTCTCTATAGACAAGCTATACAAATGCTAAACCAATAAGTAAATAGTAATTTTATAGATAATATACAATTGATAATACGCTTCCTACTCACAAACTTAGACGAAATCCCACCAATAATTAATACGAAAGACATAGTAAATAATACTAGTCCGGCTATGCGGACCCTACAATGCTATAATACATCAATCCTCCCCCTTAATATAAAAGACATAATCAATAAAAATCCCTTTCTCTATAGACAAGCTATACAAATGCTAAACCAATAAGTAAATAGTAACTTTATAGATAATATATAATTGATAATAAGCTTCCTACTCACAAACTTAGACGAAATCCCACCAATAATTAATACGAAAGACATAATAAATAATGCTAGTCCGGCTATGCGGACTCTACAATGCTATAATACATCAATCCTCCCCCTTAATATAAAAGACATAATCAATAATACTAGTAAGGCTACATGGACCCTATAATGCTATAATGCATCAATCCTCCCCCTTAAACTCTTATGCCGCATCTCCTCCTTCGTCTTCCTCCTCAAAGTTCCATATCATGACGAACACATTTGCATTGGCTCAACGATGGCCATAAGTATATCGTTCATTGCAATTGTAGCAAAATTTATCCCTTTGACACCGGGAAGCTACATGTGGAGTCATTTTGCAAACAATGTGCCTCAGTGGAGATGACAACCCACATAGTAGAGCTGGTGCCGATATCGGTGAAAGTTGTGCCATAACAGTTTCGACAAAAGCAGGGGCTGCTCGTCCCGGTTTGCTGAATGTGTATTAATACTCGTCCACTGTCTCGGTCTCTCGAAATTTTGCCACTGTTTGCTCCTTTGGAATGCACTGGTATTTGAAATATTTCTCAACCCATGACATCCATCCCGACGGGTCCTCTTGTCCCATAAATTTTTGGAATTCGAGTGTTGCAATTTGCGTGTGAAACATAGCTTGACTGGGGTACTCGTACTACCCTATTAATCCTCCATACTCGTGCCCCAGTATTTGGACACCTCCGACATTAATCCCTACTCCAGTCGAATGTGGCATGGCAGGCAAGCCAAGATTGACCGTCGAATAGTGGCCCATCGCCACGTTGCGAGTCGCACATCCCCACAACCCTACGCCTCCTAGGACTCTGTCAGTCCGTTGTCCCCTGGAGAGTAACTCGAGCCAGTCTAACTCACGCTCAGCCCGACTTTGCCCATCATGAAAAGATGCGAATTAGAAATAATTGGTCGAACAAATCTGTGTCATGGCCACCCTTTCATCCCGATCCCATCATTCACGGCCTGAAAAATCATCCTCACCCAATGAAACCTGATCCGCTTGTAGGGCTGGATTTTCGGTTAGATCGGTTATAACCGATAACCGAAATGTCGGTTACCGGTTAACCGCGACGCCAGCAGTGTCTACTGCCAACCGCCCGACGGAAACCATCGGTTAGCCGGCAACCGACCGGTCGGTTACCGGTTAGTTGCTCGGTTACCCGTGGTAACCGCAACTTCCTTCCGCCCTTCTTCTTCTCTGCAAGACAATCCAAAAGCAGAGGAGCTTCCTCTGAAAAACTCCGCTCCCTCACCCCACACAAAAAATTCCGCCAAACGCGGCCTTACCCACTTCTCCTCTCCCGCCATAGATTCCACCTCCTACTTCTTCCTCTTCTCCTCTTCAAAAAAGCTTCCATCTTTCTCTCTTTCTCTGCGGAGACCCAACAAATTAATGTTGCTACTGCTGCTCTGAAATTCTTGTGAGAACCGAGATAAAAATGGCTTTCCAAGACCACATGTCGCAAGAAATGGGCTTCCAGCCGCCGCTCTCCGCGGCCTCCGCAGGGCCTTCGTGGCTGAACAGCGCCGTCCTCCGCCGCGGCGATGGCAGCGACAGGAGCGAGAACGACAGCAACAACAACAACAACCACCACCACCACGGCGGCGGAGGTGGGGAAGATGAGCTTCTGGACGGTGGCGGGGGAGTGGGGGATTGGGAGAGGGCGAAATGCAAGGTAACCGAGTGGCGCTGGGGCGCGGAGAAGACAGAAGGCCGATGGCGGCGGCGGGGGCCGCGGCGGAGGTTGCTGCGGGGAAGGGTTTGCGGCGGCGGACTCTCGCTGGCGGCGAGGACTGGTGTGGGCGTCGATGCAGAGAAGGGAAGGGAAGGAAGAAGTTTGATTCTGCAAATTGGGGAAGGAAGACGAAGTCGAAGACGAATTAGGGTTTTGGTGTGGGCAGCTGGGCGGCGTTTTGTGGGGGGGGGGGTGTTTGGCCGTGTCGGTTAGCCGGTTAACTGGCGGTTAGATCCATCGGTTAGCCGGTTAACCGCCACCTCCAATATCCCTATCGAGCACCGACCGCGTACATTTTTTTCGGTTAGTCGGTTAACCGGTAACCGGCGGTTATCGGTTTAACCGGCCGGTTAACCGGTAACCGCTAACCGAACGGCCAGCCCTATCCGCTTGCGTGCACGTCGGTGGACCCATTTCTTCCGCCCAATCCTTCTGGCTCTTATTGCCAAGGCTCCAGCCTGTTCGATCCCAAATTAGCATCGATGACGCCTGAGATACACTTAATATAGACCCTCGTATTATGATCCAAAGTGCATTGATTTCCCATCGTTTACCATCATTATACCTTGGATTTGTTATGTGAATGCTTAAAGTGAGTTGTGACTCATTTTGTTATCAAGTTATGCTTTTGGTAGTGTTCTGTGCTTTTTCAAGTCAAAGTAGTCCAATGGACCACTTAGGAGCTGGAGGAAGAATCGAATGAAGAAACATGTGTCCAGAAATGACACCCTAGTTGAGAAATGACGCAATGCCGCCAATTTAAAGAAGCGACACTTCGTCAAGAAGGCGTCCATAAGTTATCCGGAAGTAGTAGCTTCATCGAAGAACTCTTCTAATTAGTTGGATGACACGTCAAAGCCAAGTTTCTCTCCCAAAAAACCTTAATCCAAGGCCTATATAAAGGTCTATAGGGTTTGAAACTCGATAGCTAGTGATAGGAGGCAAGTAGAGGATCATTACTCTGCTGACAGAATACCCTACCTGACTTAGAGCGACACTAGTTGTCGGGATGAATCGGTGCCCTCCGACCCAATTTCTCTGTTATGACTGCCGATTCTAGAGGTTCTCTGGGAGGTTTATTTCAATCGATGACTCCCTAGAACTCGTCCCCATGGCTGCTAGTTCCCTTAGTTGCATAGGTTGGCGAACCTTAGATGTTCTTTGACAATATTGATGTTTGGTTTATATATGATGATTGGACTTCTTCTATCTTTCTGCTTGATTTCTATGTTTGGTTTGTTGTCAATTAGATTGCGTGTGTAAGGCAAGGACTATCTTCAAAGGATATATCCTCCTATCCGGATTTGTGGATGAGACTAGAAACAACATTCCTTCATATAATCGATAATCAATCGATTGAACTGTGTGACTTCTTCAAGCTAAGGGAGAAAACCATAGGGTTCATCTTGCATGTTGGTTCGCAGAGTTATCGCAAACTAAAGCAGGAACAAACCCAAAAATAATGAAACATGTCATATGTAGCCACATTCAGTTGTTGATTATTGGTTGCATGTAGATGTGTTTCTTAGAATCTACCTTGCATACTTATTGCATCGAGATGCTTATGTCTCGAATGCAATACACGCATGGAAAGGGATCGTGTTGCATAATGTGATATATGAAATTCATTATCGTATCTCCCACGTCCCTCATGTAGCTTAGAACCTACGATCATCATCGTGAGGAGTGGCAACCATATAGAAGTATAGTATATCAGTTGGCAGGAGGAATCTTTCAGGATAGCTGCGGCAGCTTCGCGGTAACGATAGAGATTCAAATTCTAAAATATTCATAAATTTATAAGACAAAGTACAATAATGTGCAAATCATTAATCTCTCACTCCTACACATGTATAGAACAGTAAACAACTAGCATAATCTTAATCACAAAGGGAAAAGAAATGAAAGAGTGACGAGAGAATTGAAGAGGAGGGGGGATTAGTGTTTGGTTTGGGTGGCCACTCAATTACATTCAACTCTTTGTTTCTTTTTGAATAACCCTCCCGTCATTGAAAAGTTGCAATATGATTCCTATATCCTTAATATATGAAAGAAAAAATCTTGGTGGAGTGGGTATGTGTATGAGTATGGGGTGGGAAGCTGAAACCAAATCCGGTCCATCCACATCAAACATTTTTGTGGATTTTACCCATACCCAATCAATATAGGGATTCCCCGTATCAACTAGGTTGATACGAATTACCATGATATCTCTGAATGTTAAAAGATAAACATAAACATCAACTTTTGCCAATTTTATTCAGGTCGAGTACTCTTGGTTGCGGGTTGGATTGACATCCCTATTTGTGATAGTGGTTAAAACTAATGTTGTCAGAACCAAACCGGAGCATGACCCAGTAATGCGAACGACTCGTATTTTAGTGGTCCAACCATCATTAGAGCGTTTAAAAACTGTTAGAGAACCGGTACCTAATAAACGTTATCAATATAAATACTGGACATTTCTTAATCAGAGCTTGTCTCTTTCCTTCGAAATTGTGAAATGAAAATAAGGATTCAGTTTGAGAGCCCGACGTTTTTGGTTTATTTCAATTCTCTGCAATTTTTTTAATTAAATTTAACGACTGAATGGCAAAAACCGGACAAGCGGTTAACCGCCTTGACCGCTCGTCAACCGCTACATGAAACCGAAGCGGCTTTTAGACTGTTGCGAGCCGATTTTGTGATCGTGTGGTGGTTTTATCGGTTGGGCCGAGCGGCTCGGCTCGGCTTTAATACCACTGGTTAAAATTATAAAGCCTTGACGAGGAAGAAGATGGCGAAAAGAGCAGTGAAGGACCAATCGACAATCCCATACCTACCATATACTTTTGCCAATTTCTTTTCTTCTAAAGAACTAAGGTTGTTAAACTCGACTAAGTCATCAAGCCGATTTGACAAGGAAGTTGAGATTCAATGGTCGGATCGAGATTTAACTAGTTTAAACCGGTTTTAACATGATATGTGGATAGTAAATATTGGGATGGGAAGATATTCACACAACATACCTCAGTTAATCGTCAATTTAACTAATTTGAACAAGAAACGGACAAGAAAACTTGAAAATTGTTCATCTTAATTAAGTGACAAGTCCATGCCCATAACATCAACACTCAATTGCGGGACGCAAACCAACATGTCTTACCCTTTCTAGGCAACCAACCACTAGTATGTAAAATTTGGTTAGTGGACTTTTGAGCTGCGTGGATGCAGAGAGAGAAATCAAAAACCCTATTATGAAAAAAGAGTCTCAACTCCCTCCGCCTAATCGTTGTGAATCAATCCTCAAGGACCCTGCCTGCCACCCTACTCGACCTCTGGTACAACACGTGTCTGACGATTTTCGGAACCACGACGTTGAATTTCTCGTTCCTGTACTTCACTCCTCCTCTTTCCCATCCGGCGGTCTGAAACTTGACTATGTTGTACGGCTGCAGCCCGTTGTGATCAAGAGATGTGGTAATCCCGTCGGAGACCACGTTGTCGTGTCCGAATCCCGACGGTTTGGTGTCGTTCTACGCGAACAAGATGTCCCTAATGAGGACTGGACTGGAGGGGTCAGTGGAGTGCAGGCGGATAGTGAAGGCTTCCCCAACCCGAGTAGCGCGCCGACTGGCTATGGCCGGAAGCGTTGGTGATTTCTGCCCAAAAAATATGGCTGGTGAGAGCCGTTTGTATACCCGGTTCTGGTCCAACCCGATCCAGCCGACCGGTTTGATAGGGTTTGACAACCATGTTGAGAACACATCAAAATATAAGTTGTTTTTTTTCAAAAGATAATATATATTAATCCAAATAAATAGATAGTAACATCCTGGAAATCAGTCAGGCCCGAAAATCAAAGAAGCGATTTTCAGTCGGATACAAAGAGAGGGCTTTTCTAGCTACCGAGTGAGCTACCCTATTGTTCTCCTGACTTATAAACCGCACACTAAACCCAGGATGGGCACGAAAATACTGACATATCTCTTCCAGGACTGCCCCCAACCGATTATCGCTTGTGTCTGCTTGATTAATTTTGTCAATAATGACTTTCGCATCGCCCTCAAACCAAACTTCTGACAAGCCATACTCCAAACACCAAATAATAGCCTCCTGAAGCATAAGCAGCTCTACCACCATTGGCTCATCCACTTGAGGAATCTGCAACCCTTTGGCCGAAAGGAGTGTCCGCACCGGATTGAAAACAACCATTCCACCAGCCGAGTGTGACCCCCTCCTAGTGGCCCCATCCCACATGCAAACCAATCGAGGATCACCCACCTGAGACCCTGGCTGAACCACTGGGCAAGACACCCTCGGCGCCTGGTCAACGGGCAGGCCTACCCACTCCTCATACTGTTGGTGAAACTGGCGCATTAGAGCCGGGATTCCAAACTGTTTGCCCTCAAAGACAACCAAGTTACGCTACCGCCAAATCCGCCAAAGGATGGCAACCACAGCCATGAACAACGACAACTGATGGACAAGGGCAAGCATCTGCTTGAGAAACAACGGAAACGTGCACCGAGGCAAATTCCTCCTCCAAATAGTCCAATCCCGAGTATTCCTAGAGAGCCCGCGCAACCGGGCAGTATAGAAACATGTGCTCCATCGTCTCGGGGCTATCCCAGCATACCGGACACCGAGGCAACACCGGAACCTTCTTTTCAATGAGAGCCTCAGTGGTCGGCAGAGCCCGATGAAAGATTTTCCAGACAAACACTTTCAGCTTCGGAGGGATCTTAGCTTCCCACAGCCGGATCCAACTGGGCTTATCCATCCAACTGACCGACGATCGCCAACCACCTCTCCTCCTGTCTAACTCAACAGCCAAATGATATGCGGATTTAACCGAGAACACCCCGTCAGTTGTGTTATGCCAGATAAGTTTATCAGCCACATTATGTTGCGGAAGTGGAATAGCCTTAATGGCACGACAGGTAGGCGGGTCAAACCATTGACTAAGCTTATCATCAGCACAACGCCCTTCCCCTTGACAAATAACCTCCGCCACCAAGGGGGCGCCCCCATCTGGCAGGACCAGGGGATTATATCAAGGGGGATCCAGCTGTAGCCCTGGGATCCAGTTAGAGTGGAGAAGGGAGACTGATCGCCCATTGCCGATCTGCCATCTTAAACCCGCCTCCAGTAACTGACGCCCAAACAGGATACTCTTCCATCCCCATGAAGGGCGTGAGCAAGCTGTTGCGGCCATAAAAGTTCCTTGAGGAAAATACTTCCCTTTATACACTTGAGCAAGGAGGGAATGTGGTTCATTGAGAATACGCCAACCAATTTTTGCTAAAAGAGCTTGGTTAAAATGTTCAAACCGGCGAAATCCCATCCCCCCCATCATGTTTACTCCTGCACAGATTGCGCCAGGACACCAATCGAACCTTGGGATGGCCCTCCTCAGCACCCCACCAGAACCGGGCCACATGTCTATCCAAAAGACGACAAAGAGAGAGGGGCAACCGAAAGCACGACATAACATGTAGGGCAAGGCCAAAGCTATTGATTTAATTAACGTCTCCTTTGCCGCCTAGGACAATGTCCTTTGCTTCCACCCTTGCAGTCGCTCCAGTAATTTCTCCTCTAAATATCGGAATGTTGCCATTTTGGAGCGGGCAATCGAAGTCGGTAACCCCAGATACTTGTCATGGACCCCTACTGCACCAACCCCTAGAATTGTGGCCAAGAACTCTTGATCTGGTAGGGCAACATTTTTACTGAAACAGACTGTAGATTTCTCCAGATTAACCCGTTGACCACTCAGCTCCTCATATTCGTTTAGCACCTCAATCCAATTCTCGCACTCCTGAAGAGAACCTCGCAGGAATAAATAAGAATCATCTGCGAAGAACAAATGAGAGATTCAAGGAGCACGGGGAGCCACTATCACCCCCTCCAACTTCTTTTTCGAGATCGCCTTCCGTAGAAGGGCCGCAAACCCCTCCGTACATAACACGAACAAGAGAGGCGACAATGGATCTCCCTGTTGGAGCCCCCTAGAGGAGGTGAAATAACCCGAGGGCGTACCATTCATCAGGACTGAAAATGAAGCTGAGCGAAGACACTCATGTATCCATCCTCGCCAGACAGAGTTAACACCCATTTTATCCAAAACTGCCAGAAGGAAGGGTCATTCGACTCTATCATAGGCCTTTTCCATGTCAACCTTTAGAGCCATGTACCCCTTCTTCCCCTTCCTCTTTATCTTTAGATAGTGCATTAACTCATGTCCGAGAAGGATGTTATCGATAATTTGTCGGTCTCTTATAGACGCATTCTGACCCTCAGAAACGATCTGCGGGAGTAGACTCGCAAGCCGTTCAGCCATGATCTTGGTTATTACTTTATAAACAAACTGACATAGGCTGATCAGACGCAACTGGCGCATTGTTTCCACAAAATCCACCTTAGGAATCAAAGTGAGCCATGTATGGTTAAAACTCCGTAGCATGCGGCTCATTGTAAAGAACAAACACACTGCTTCAATCACCGAAGTGCCCACAATATCCCAGAATGCTTTGAAGAACTTTCCGGTAAAGCCATCAGACCCCAGAGCTTGCTTTGATCCCATTGAGAAGACCGTTCTCTGAACCTCATTAGGCAATACCTCAGCCGTCAACAGCGCATTCATCTGCGGAGTAACCCTCTGGGAAATGGGGAGATTCGTCACCCTCTCAATCATATTAGGAACCTGGGACTCTGAGGTAAACAGAGTTTGATAAAAGTTGGTAGCAATAATAGCCTTCCCACTTTCCTCAGTAACCCATTCACCCTCATCATTCCGGAGCCCAGAAACAAAATTTCTTTTTCGTCGCG